ATATGCTCACACACACAGACACACGCACACCACTGATCACAAATTCACTAGAGCCAGGCTGTGCCAAATTCCCCGTGTGCCTGGGCAACTGCCCAGGCCGTGCCAGGAGGGCTCCTGAGCGGGAACGTTCCAGGCCAGGCCACGGGCACAAGAAGCACCCTCAAATGCAGCAGCACAGCCTGATTGCAGCCCTGCAAACGCTGCCAGAGGTGCAGCTTCCTGCAACTGAACCCCGAAACTGACGCTGCGGGCGGGGCTCACCTTGCTTCAACAAGGGCAAAGAAATGTGTTCTCCCCTTCAAGTTCATCCCCTAGGAGAGCAGAAAAGAAGGGGCTTTCCTCCAATGAAATCCTTCAAGCCATGTGGAAAGGGGGATTTTGACCTCAATTCAAACCCTTGAAAAGGAGGGACACCAGCGCTGTCCCCTCCATTTAAACCTTAGGATGATGAAAATGGGCTGGCTGCCTTCAAATCAAACCTGCCACTGGCAACTATTTACAGACTCGAACAGGATGGGCCACTCAAAAATCAGTGTCTTGAGCTGGTTTATTTCAACATCAGTCTCAACACTTAACAATGGAGACACTCGATGTGAACAGCTCACTGATTTAAACAGAATGCCAAAGAAACATAATGTTACAACACAGCATAAAGCAAAATCTTCCCAAGTTTCAGCCAATCACACATAGAGCAAAAGCATATTCACATTACTTCTACCCAATTACATGGAGCACACGTAGCTTTGGTTAAAACAATAGCGGCATATTTTCTAACACAATGGCTAACTAACATATTCATGTAAGCCTTCTAAAATATACATTAAGTAAATTTGTTGCAACCAAAAAGGACAAACCACATAGGCTTATTGTTCTATTTCTCATGTCTAAGCTGCAGCCTAAAACTCATTCTGCTATCTTGGCATTTCTCTGTCTTTGCTAGCTTTTTGGGGCCTGCTTTTTTACCATTTTCTCAAAACCCTTTAACTTTATGGATTCCAGCAAAACCCATAATATGACAACAATACTTTGCCCATTCCCGTTCAAATGGAACGCAGGGATTCCCTGTCACCCCTGGGATACCCCTAACAGCCTGGAAAAGACAGGTTTTCCTTCAATCAACACCCTTAAAACCACAAGTTAAGGTGGATCCCCCCCAGTTCAAACACAGACAATATTAGGAGAGTAGCTGCTTCTCTCTCCTTAATTTCTTTTGTCCTCAAAAGCTGCATTTTTGTTCCTGGAGAACCGGGGAGGGACTAGCAAGATGAGATTGAAAAGGGAAAGGACAAAAGTCCCCGCTCCAAATCCACACGCGCTCACCTGTTCGGCTGCTGCTTCCCGGCATAAAGATTCGTCCCTCGGCACCTCCTTGAAGCGATGCTCCGCGTATCCAAGCGCGTATCCAGGTGTTCGCCCAGACGCTGCGAGAAGCTCTCACAGTCCTTCCATGAGACAGCCCCGGGAGCCCCTCATGAACCCCTCTACTCAGCAGCTCCATGCAAAAGGGAGCTGAGGCAAAGCCTCCCCCTAAAACAGCCTCGCCCCCCCCGCCCCCCCCCGGCAGGAGCCGGCCCCTCATCATCCTCACAGCTCACACCTGGCGCTGATGCCACTCTCCAACAGCGCCTCTCCCCGTCCAGCACACAGCCCGCTTCTCACAGACACAGAGCCAACAGAAATCTGCTACGGGTGCTGGCTTTTCTTAGTCCGTCTGCTTCCACAATTCAGACACGTACGTGCGCTGATGGCATTGAGGGAAAGCTTTCCAGTGCACAAAACTGTCATTCTGGTAGCACGCTTTGAGACGCCTTCAGAAAAAGCAGAATCAGCGCCACCTCCTAAGAGCCCTGCTGAGGAACCCCGCCCTCCTTGGGACACCCAATGCAGCAGAGCTCGAAAAACGAGGGCAAAAGTCAAGCTTGGAGTGGAAAAAGACAATATAAATACAGCAGCCGTTCAAAAAAGCCTTCACACAGTAATAGTGGGACCCGGTCACATTTCTTCTTTCCTTGCTCTCTGGAATGACATCAATACGTAGTAAAAAACCCACACGAAACACAAGGCAGAGCTGGGATTTTACACGTCTTCCTTTTGGCTCTCTGGATGACAAGCGCCTCTTCCGGGACTGCGACACGATTTGGGCACTGGCAGAGAACGGAGGCAAAAGGTGACAGAGAGCCCTTTCTATCGCCTTCAGCCCCTGCGGCTGTTCTGAGGGTTCCAGGGCACAGCTCGGTGCGTTCCTAGATCAAAACCTCACGGCAATATCTTCAGAACTACTACCCATCTCCAGTCGGAGCTTTCTACATTCCTGTAAACAAATGAGTGCATAGAGAGGGTTTCTCCCCAGCTGAGTTTAGAGACAAATTGCTATTCTTTAGCAATACCTAGAAAACCGAATACCTTGCCAGGTTTTAGCATCCTACACCCACTCACCCCTCCCTGTGCATTTGGTGGCAGGTTTGGGTCCCTCTGGGGGACGGCACCCAGCGTGACCCCCCCCCCCCTCGCCCGCCACCCACCTGCTCCTGCACCGCAGTGGGGCTCCCTCTCCTGGGCACCTTGGTGTGCCTCCAACGGCATCAGAGCCCCGAGTCTTCACCCCCCCCCCTTTTCCTGACCCCCAAAGAAGGCTCAGAACGAATCCGACTGCCCTGGACAGCAGCGCAGCGCTTCCCCCAAGCCCTTCCCACACGTGCATGACCCCAGCAAGGGATTCTGCTGCAACAAGAAAGGGGGGGCAGCCCCCAGAAGGGTTGAGGTTCCTGCCCAGCCTCGCTGTCACGGGCCAGGGGCAGCGAGAGAGGGAGCGGCACAGACGGCGGGGACGGCACGGCACAGAGCGGGGGCCGCTCTCAGCGCGATGCCGGCAAAGCCGCAGCTCCGGCGCTGTCGGCCGGGGTGCTTGAGCGGCACGGGGGGATCCGCCGAGAGCCTCCGGCCCCGCGCGGGGACTCTTGCAAGGGCCGAGGGGCGCCGGGCTCCGGCCCTCGGGGCTTTATTCTCCGGCACCCCGAGCTCCGCGGCTGCGGGGCAAAGAAGGAAAGGGGGCACGGGAAGAGAGGAGCGAGAGCAGGGCATGAGAAAGGGCGGCGAGGGAGGTCGGGCTGTGGAGGAAAGCGGGACGGGAAGGGAAAGCCCGGGACGGGGGTACAGGGAGGCTGGGCAGAGGAAGGAGAGAGGGGGAACAGAAGGGAGTAGCGGGCTAGGGACAGGACAGGAAGGAGCCTGGTTTGTGGGGGGAGAGGGAATGGGGGAAAGGGAGCGAGAGAAGGCGAATACGGGGAGAAGGAAGGAGGGCTAGAGAGAGGGACAGGCGGGGAAGCCTCCCAGAGCCCCGGCTGCACCCCGAGCCCGGCCCGGCGCCTCACCCTGCCCGGGATGCTGCGCTCGGCGGAGCTCGGCTCGCTCCGGACACACTCGGCTTGAGTCGGCTCTTCGGCTAAACTCAGCTATTGTCGCCTAAACTCGGCTCTTGTCGCCTGCATTCGCCTCTTCGGCCGAGCTCGGCTCGCTTCGGCCCAACTCCCAGCCGCTCTGTGCCTTCGGCGCGCCTCGGCTCCGCTCGCCTCGGCTCGGCTCCCTGACGGCGGGCAAGCGCCGCCGCCTCACGTTCAGCTCGCCCGGCTCGGGGCTCTCCCGCTGCTGCGTCCCGCGGGCGGCCCGGCCATCGCGCGGACACGACCGGGAGCGCGGGCTCGGGCAGGAGCTCATTAGGCTGTGACCGCACTGGCGCTAATTAGCGCGCACGAGAGCAGCAGGCTCGCTTCGCTTCAGGCAGCCTCGGAAGCCTCGCCTCGGTTCGCTCGAGGCCGTCAGGTTCGGCCGCTCTCGCCTTGCTTCGGCCGAGCTCGTGCGATTCCCCCGAAGGCGGCGTCGTTCGGTTGTGTTTTTAGAAATATCTTTCTCTACTGATTGTATCTTTCTATAGTTAGATTTATATTTCTAGAATACTTCTATTAATCCAAATAAAAACCCCATCTCTAACCAAATAAATACAAGAAAACACCTTCTTTTAAATTATATCGAAATATTTTATACTTTGTATAGTTATATTCACATTTATATTTATAGTTTCTTTTGATGCAATCTATTAATAATCATATATAATATCTATAAAATTCTAGACATGTATTTAAATTATTATTGATATTATGTATCATATCTACTGCTGCAACTGATTTTTTCTTCTAGTTTTAAACTTTATCTGTATGTATTTATGATATATTTCTAGACTTAGATTTCTACCTTCATATTCTTTGTATTTATAATTTTTACAATCAAAACCCTGCCTATTGACAAGTAAAAAAACCCGCTTTATTTAACGATTAAAAAAATATTTTTATATTTAAAATTTTCATATTTCTATTTATAATTTGTTCTCTAGTACATGATAACATACCTGCTCCTGCACCACAGTGGGGCTCCCTCTCCTGGGCACCTCGGGGTGCCCCCAACAGCATCAGAGCCCCGAGTCTTCACCCCCCTTTTCCTCTAGTTAGAAACTTCACTGGAACTTTTTTCTGGAAACAAAGACATGACCTAAATCCTCTCCCCATGTCCTAGACAGATAGATGTTCAGTTCTTAGTTGACTGGGCAGCAGTTTCTTAAATAGAATGATAAACAATATGGCAACGTTTTAGCTACAAGCAAATAGGCAAATCTGAACAAGGTCCTGGTGGCCAGCCACTGCAGTTATTTTGAAGCAATTTTTTAAACAATCAAATACTGATACCACAAAAAATAAAGCAAAAAGCTGACTACTGGCTAAGAAAGAAGGAAAAATTAACTTTTGACGACAACAACAACATTCCAAGGACAGAGGCTTTTTTCCAATCTCATACCTTATTACTATCTCTCTTGGGAATTCTCATCGTGGATCCCAAAAGGAATAAATACCTCAGAGTGTCCTAAAGCACAAAGTAGCTACCTACAAGTGAAGGTGGCTACTTTCAGTGCAGACACAGCTGATGACAACTGTAGCACAGTTCTATGCTGCACAGTGATAATACTGTCTCCTCTTCTCCAGCAGCTGACTCTCTCCTGCCATGGTTTCTGTAAATGCATCAGAGCACGACCTTAAACACAAACAGGCAAGAAAACACCATCAGAAGTCTTTCATTAAGCAGTACAAGAAGGGTTCCAATCAGAGACCAACAGAATTTCAAGGAAGCAGTATGCAATTAAACTACCTCAGACTTGTTCAAGTATCCGGCAGGTAGATGGAACCAAAATGGAACCATTCAGAAATGACAAAGAAAACCTCCCCAAGTATTTATACAGGAGTCCTTAATGTCAGAAATGTGATGACAGGTTATGTTCAGATAAGATGAAGGTTTATTTTGATGTATAAATAAACTTCTCTCATGGTCCTTTGCCAAAAAATATAACCTACAAGTGAACACCTACACCTGCCTAAAAAGACCTAACGAGCCCCTGGCAGCCACCAGCATCAAAGCACAGTGGATGTTTCTAATACAGGGTAAGGATAACAATATCACCTTTTGTTCTCTCCAGTTTGTTTCCTCTGCAGTCATATTTGCTTCTTATGATTTTTACAGTCTCTGTATCTTCTCGGACAGCGCTGAGTCTGACGACCAGGATACGAGAGTCTTTCCCTGCCCTACGGAGAGAACCAGGAAAAAAAGTTAAAAAAAGAACAGGGCAGTTTGAAGTTAATACTTCCGATGAGAAGCAGCACCTGACAAACAGAGCAACAGTGAACAAAGCGTGATACCTCCCTGGGGACAGAAGACTTACAAACTCTCCAGGATTTACAATTCTAGTAACCAAGCCCTTCAGCACAGCAGCCAAGTGTCCCATTAGGTGGTGCTGCACCAAAGAATGATCCGAGAGGTTCCAAAGAGTGAAATGCACGTTATTTTCCAAAGACATAAAATCTTGCAAAATAACAAAACTACAATAGATATAAACTACAGGGCAAGAGTACAAGTGTTAACTTTAGGAGCTGGAACCATCCAGGTGAGCAACTGCTAACTGGATCCTCAACAGAGTTTGAGGAACCCTTCAGGATACAGAAGGGTTTTCCCCAGAAATTTCACAGGCTGAGTTTTGATAGAAGTACACTTGCCAGATGCTCAGAAACGTCACCCATTCTCCGGGTGTCTTGAGAGAGCTGCGAATGGCTCTCACGTAGTTTGAGCTGGTTCTGTAAGGTCTCAGGGTGAATTTCACCAGATGCAACCAAATTGAGCAACACCCAGTGGGACAGAGGGAACCCAAAGCTTGTTTTACCCAAAGCTTGGGTAAGCAGAGCTCCAGCAAATACTGAGGAAACAGACGTAACAGGGTAACAAATAATAAACCTACTTTTTTTTTTTTTAATATTGCTTTTGTTTTTTTTTCAGATGAGCAAAACAATTAAGGAGAAGGTGGAAAACTCACCATTACTGAACATTTCATCACCTGTAAGCTGACCATCCTTAGCATAGAGGACTCCAAATTTAAAATTCACCGATCCCTGGAAAATAAAACCAGATATTGTATGATAAACAGTTAAAGAGATCACGTAAGAATTTGTTTCCTCCAAGGACTTTCACGTATGTACGTATCTTTGTATACATCCTACGCATTAGAATGTACATTTTACACCATCTCCCAATACATAACAATTTACCTTTAAACTTTGATAGTATAGCATCAAATCATTAACTTAAGTTGTTGCTCTATTATTGTTAAGTTGGTGCTTAAAGTTATTTTTGCTGTCATGTTCAAAAAAACATTACTTATTTTTACTGTAGTGAGCAATTGATTTCCAAGTCATCATAAGCCCATCAAAATACAAAGCTGTATTCACCGGACGGGTCTGTGAGCTAGAAGTAATTAGGGTTATACTTACCTCTTGCTCTTCCAGAACCAATAAATGCTGTCAACAAAACCAGTATCTTTAGCCCCCTCCTATTAAAGATTCTACAAGGATGATGGTTTTATTTGTGTTTAGAAGTTTGGATTTGAAATGGCCAGTTCAATGGATAAATACAGTTTAAGTAGTATTACATTATTATGATTATTATGATTATTATCTGCTACTGGAAGAGACAAACCAGTAGTATCTATACTTAATTACTTCTATTTCCAGAAAATAATAAAGAAAAAGAACCAAACAAAAAAAAAGTCACTTCCTACCTTTTGTATCTCAGGATGAAAAATGTCTCTTGGGCTCTTCTCCAATTTATCAAGACTCATAGCACTGAAATGCAAATGAACGAGTGCTTTGTAGGAGGGCAAGTGCACATTTCAACCCCGAACCACCAACCGATTGCAGTTACAGCGCTTACAAAATGAATTGTTCCGAGAGCCTCTGGTAAATGGAATGGTTTGTGCAACTGCCATTTCTTTCCCAAAATACTAACTTCCAACACTTCCTAAACTTAGTTTGCATTTTAAAAACAGAAGTTAGGGAGACTCTGTGTGGAGATCAGGTTTAAATTAATTTCCTTCTAAAGCACAGGGCTCTGTTCCATCACCCTTCACTTTGGCTCCACACAGAATCACAGGGAGCATTTTAGGAGGGCTCAAGAACCAATTCTATTTCTCTCTTTTTCTAGTTCTCTCTCTTCCTAAACAATTCAAGGGAAGTCAAATGAGAAATGACAAGTTCAGCATCAAATTCACACTTTTTCCCTTTGTCTGGTCAAGAACAGGCTTTAAAACCACTTCTTGCTGCCTTCAACGATTAAGACTTGCAAAACCATTTTTACATGTTTTATAGATTTATCATAAAAACCACAGAACGCAAGCTCTGAATTACAGGAAAAGGTAGACAGGCAAATATCTAAACTGATGGGTTATTTGTAAATACATACCTTAACAGAGATTGCACTGAGAATGGTTTTGTGGGACTCTAAGGGAGACAGATTTTCTGAGTACCCTGTAAACAAGAAAAGCTAGGATATATTACAGAACATACCCACTTTTTCTGCATATTCAAATAGGATTATCAATAAAAACATTTCAGTTAAAAAAAGAAGGAAGAAAACCAAGGTAATTTTACTCAGCTATATTTACTGCCGATTTAGGGGAAAAAAAAAAAAGTCATGGGTGCTGCAAAGAAAAAAAAAGTGAACCATAAATGCCTACAGTAGAACTTTAAAACAATTGCTTGGATAAAAGCAGCTCATGGAACATGAAGTAGAAAATAAGCGAAACCAGTATCAGACCTGCCTGTTTTCTTACCATTGCACAAGAAAATCCGACAAGCAGTATAAAGTCACTGCCTAAAACCGATCCTAGGATGTAACCAAGAACAATTGAGGCATTTGCTAATCTAAACGGAAACCTTTTCTGGACCCTAGTGTCAAATCACAAGTTTTGTCTTTCAGAAGCTCGAGGCTGGAGAGCATTTCCCCTGGGGGTCGGGAAGGTAGGGGCACAAGGGGGTGAGTTTGCAGATCGCACCTGTGCCATCAGAAGGATCCAGCCCGTGTGCTTCTTGCGCTCGCCATTCTCCTGGCCATCGCTGTGTTTTACTGCTCAGCGCCGCTCCATCTGTTTGCGTGGAAGAAAGAGCCACGAGCACTAAGGCAGTCAGCAGCCGTGCCATTCCAGCGATATCGAGCGCTCTCTGCTCGCAAGGCTGAACACGCTGCGGAGCCGCCTCCGCAGCCGCTCGTCCGCCCCCGCCCGCAGCAGCGGCAGCAGCCCGAGGGAGACGGCTGCAGCTCGGCGGCTCCCGCGCCTCCGCCAGCCCGAAGGCAGCCGCCCCACAGTGACCGCGGCAGCGCCCAGCGCCGCTCGCCTGGGGCGGCTCCTGCAGCTCCCGGCCCGCGGCAGCAAAGCACCGCCTCGCGCTCCGCCATCGGCGGGCGGCAGCGCGCCCCACCCGAGCTGAGCCCCCGCCACCGGTACCGCTGAGCGAGGCCGAGGCACCGGGCGGACGCCCCTTCCGCGCTGCTCAGCTCCGTGCGGGCGGCCGGACTGAGGCTTCGCCCCTCCAGCGTGGCTGCTGCGGCTCCGTCCCGCGCGGGAGAGGCACCGGGAGCTCCCCGCGCACAACCCCCTCCGCCGGTGCGCGGCCGCCTCGGCCCGCCAGCCATTCATATGGCGCGTCGGCCGTTGCGTCAGACGCCGCGCTTTACGGCCGCAGGGCCTGCCGGGAGTTTTAGTCTCGGGCTGACAGCCACCGCTCCGTTTTCCGCCGCCGGGAGCTGCGGTCCCGCCAGGGGATCAAACAGCTCCTTCGCTCCTGGGCGAGGGAGGACCTTAGGCAGCACCGCCCCTCCCGAATGTCCTTTCTTTTCCACTCCAACTCTTTTTTTCACTCTGTTTTTCACCCCCTTTTCCACTCTCACTCTTCCTTTTTCACTCTCACCCTTTTCCTTTTTCACTTTTCTTTCTTCCTTTCTCTTCCTTCTTTTCTTTCTCTCTCTCTTTCTTTCTCTCTCTCTCTTTCTCTCTTTCTTCCTTTCCCTGTATTTCTAATCTTGGCTTTCCATTCTAGCTTTAGAATAAAAAAGCAGCAGTAGAAACGTTCAGGCTACATGGGAGTGCGAAAAACCCCAAAACGGTAATGATTTTCGGAAAACTATTTCCTTCATGGGAGCCTGAAATTTTCTACAGCTGCAGGTGACATAGAGCTTTTATTTCTTCTGCTATATGGTTTATACTTTATACTCTATTTTTACAGCGCCCCCTGCCGCCTGCACCGGCGCACTGCAGGCAGAGTGCCGCCTAATGACGTCACCTCGTCGACACGGCGCCCCGCCCCGGACACGCCCCCAGCGCCCCAGGAAAGACCCCAAGGCGTAGCCGTTTTGACAGCTGCCTGATCAAAATGCCGACACCCACCTCGAGCCCTAGAAACAATTTCCCGCGACGCCGAACCCTGCAGGCGAACTGCAATGCCATCACCGCAATTGAAACGCCACAGAAAATCTCGTCGGGGCCGCGCCGGCGTCGGTGTTCCGTGCAGGCATTCCGGATAGACCGCTGGGGGTCCTCCATTTTTCCCGCCCTTTTGACCGCCCTTTTGAGAATGTCAAACAAAGTCCGCCACGTGCCACTCCCAAGAGGGCGGCCTCTCGGTAGCCTGTCGGTGGCGGGCTGCAGTACCGCGCTCTGCCCACAAGGCGGCAGCACTGCCACCCAACCCAGCCGGGGGCGCCACCCCATCAGACAGTAATTAAGGTCTGACCATTGTGGTACTGTGCTGGACAGAGTAAATTAGTGACTGAAGCTTAAATACGAAAGAGGGCTGATTCTTGAATGTGCAGCAAATGAAAGATCAGGGACATAATATGGGAAAGCTTGATGTGCTGATGGAGTTCGTCCTTGCGACAGCTTTCAAACTGAGACAGGACAGTACCTTATAAAATTCCTGCCCTTAAACTACCATTCACAGTAACATTCGAATGGAAGGAGTTTCCAACAATTTTCTATTCCTTCTTGCTAAACAACATGCAGCACTCTGTGGAAATTCTAGACCAAGATCCGGAGATGTTTTCTGTACTGGCACAATTACTCCTTGCAAGTTATACTGGAAAAGAATTTTCCTAAAATACAGGTGACAAGAGAGGCAGAAGACAGAGATACGGAGCTCTCCGAAGCTAAGCGCCAGTCCGGGGTGTCCTTCAGCGGAAGCCACCCTCCGGAGCGCACCATGACCGACACAATGCTCTGTGCGGAGAGAAGCCGCTTCCAAACCTCAGGGAGACAGAGAGAGCCACAGCTTCCGAAAGTCAAAGACAGAAGCTGCACAACTCTGGGATTGTGTGAGCAGCTTTCAAAGTTATAGAAAACAGTGCCTTACCACTCTCCTGCCATTTCAATTCACCTGAATTTTGGAAAAGGAGGAGTTTTGGACAACTTTCTTTTGCTTCTTACTAAACAATCTACAGAACCCCGGGCAACATCTAGAACAACATCCGGGATGTTATCTCTACTGGCATAGTTTCTCCTTCTGAGATAGTGGAAGAGATTTTTGCTAAGATGCAAGCCACCAGAGATGCAGAAGAAGGAGATAAGGGGCTCTCTGAAGCTAAGTGACAGTCCCGGATGTCTTCCGGCGCTCCGGGGCACACCACGACCAGGACAATGCTCTGTGCGAGAAGAAGCCCCTTCTTCGCCTTCAGCAGACGGAAAGAGTGGCAGTTTCCGAAAGGAAAAGAACCAAGCCGCACAACACTGGGATTCTTTGCACACATATCAAACTAATAGAAAACAGTACCTTAGCACTGTCTTGCCTTTTCCATTCACATAATATTCGAATAGAGTGAGTTCTGGAAAATTATCTTTTACTTCTTATTAAAACATTGCAGTCCTCCATGCAACATCTAGAACAAGATCGGAGATGTTTTCTGTACTGGCTACAGTTTCTCCTTGCAAGACAAAGTGCATAAGTTTTATCTGAGTGTTAGGCCACAAGAGCCGAATGAGATGGAGATTAGGGGCTCTCAAAAGCTAAGCGCTGGTCCCGGGCGTCTTTGGTCACAAGCCGCTCTGCGGAGCTCACTGCGCCCGGCACAATGCTCACTGTACGGAGAAGCCACTTCTTCACCTCGGGGAGACGAAGAGAGCGGCTGCTTTCGAAAGGTGAAGAACCAAGTCGCACCACAAAGGCATGTTGTGGGCAGCTTTCAAACATAAAGAAAACAGTACTTTACCACTCTCCTGCTTTTTCCATTCAAGTTACTTTTGGAAAAGAAGGGGTTTTGAACAATTTTTTTGCTTCTAACTAAAAAATCTACAGATGCTCGGGCAACTTCTAGAACAACAACCGGGATGTTATCTGTACTGGCATAGTTTCTCCTTCTGAGATAGTGGAAAAGATTTTTGCTAAGATACAGGCCACCAGAGACGCAGAAGAGGGAGATATGGAGCTCTTGGAAGCTAAGAGATTGTCCCAGGTGTCTACCGGCAGAAGCCGCGCTCCGGAGAACACCACGACCAGGACCACGCTCTATGCGCAAATAAGCTGGTTCTTTGTCTCTGGGAGACAGAGAGAGCGGCAGCTTCCGAAAGATGAAGAACAAAACCCCACCACAACGGCAAGGTGTGGGCAGCTTTCAAACAGAGAGAAAACAGTACCTTACCACTCTCCTGCCTTTTCCACTCACATTAATAATCGACTACAAGGAATTTTGGACAACTATCTTTTGCTGCTTTCAAACCAGTCTGCAGACCTCCGTGCAACTTCTAGAACAAGATCCGGGATGTTTTCTTTACTGGCACGGGTTCTCCTTGCAAGACATAGTGGA